CTCTTCAGATATTTAAATAAAGAGTGATTTTTTAATTTTATTTTATGGATGCGAACACTTATGAGTAAACAGCAGTTAGCCCCTTGGACACACCCATACAACAATGAAGTCTTAGGACAGAGATGTAAACTCAGCTTTATGATATTGTAGTTTGTATACTTATGATGATGACACATTCCTTTGTAGACCAGGAGAAACTCCAGTTCCATAACATGTCAGGCTCGAAGCTGCACTGCCGTATAAAGCAGAGAAAAATGACGTATCAACGCCAGTGTCAGGTCCACTACAAGAGTGGCCAAATGCAGAGAAGGTCATCTGACTAACCTGAGGCTGACCGCTCACCTGATAATTACAGCCGCACTCGGCGGTGGGGGTGGTGAGCTCAACAGGGGCTTCCAACAGTCGCGGTTGTTACAACCGATGTTCACACCGTCTCCCTTACGTGAATTAATTTGCATAGAAATCAAAGTTTGAATCATTATTCTGAAAAGAGCCCTCCTTACCTGGGTAATTCAGGCTTCCCTTAACTAATCTGTTAGAATCTACCTGATGCAAACCTATTCATCTATTCTGACTCATGACTTTGAAAAGACAACAAAGGCTACGTTAAAGTGAATGCAACCCCTGCCCCCATTTAACCCCTGCCCCCTCTACACAGATGTCATTAATTTAAATTCAGTTACCAATAACCCAGTCCAACATGTATGTAGTTCTGCTGACATAGCTCAGATATATTGTATATTAAATAGAAGCATGCGTGTTTTATGTTAAATGGGCTACTCAGTGAATTCTGTGCCTGGGGAAATCTTAGTTCTGAATGCTCAGCTTACAGGTGAAATACTGAAATATAAACCAACATACTCTATCCTGAACTCCCTACCTCCACCACATTAAAAAAAATAAAGATACTGTATATGTTTAAACTTTCAGACTGCAGTTGCCTGCAGGTAACAAACTGTGGAAAACAATACCACAGGGGGACTAACATAGTGTCCTGTGTCTCCTAGTGGCCAGACCAAAATTTGGTCACAAGATTAAAAAAATATGTTAGGTTGTACTTTAGTTTACTATCTTACTTGAAATGATGAAACCATAATCAACTGTGAGTCTGAAGCCTGTTGAAATGAATTTGAAAACGATGCCTACACAATGTCAGTTAATGTTCATTTCTAGTGCTGATCACTGCCTCACACTTTAATAGACGCAGAGAGATATTTGATCTGATGAAGTCACTACAAATTAGGTCTGTTCTTAAATAGGATGCTATGGCAGTAATTTGGATAAGGGTGAGTCTATAAATAGGAACATTAAAACGTCTTTTGTTAATACTAATCTTCTTTTGTATTTGCAAAGTGTGCTTTCTTCAAGAGGCTTAAAGCGCTTTTTAAAATTATCTTTGTACTGCTTCACACTGACTGTGAAAAATGAAAGATCTCCCTTCTCAACAGTCACTGCAGAATTTTCTCTGTGGGGATAAATGATCTGACATTGAATAAATAGCTCCCCCAGATCTGATGCTACTTTTGTGTGCCTCAAAGTGTGCAGTCAGGTCAATGGTCCCATTGAACTTTGCACGGGTCTGCAATCATCTGCTGTATTTGATTAATTTCAGGGGTAACATTTAAAAAGGAAGAGTCGATCATGTTTAATTTATCATTTCAAGTATCCCCAGCACGTCTTACATGTTCATGAAATATAATGGTTGCTCAATAAATATTTAATACCTGAAATAATATCAGATGGTGGCTATATAAATGCCACATAAAGGGTTGGGAGATTGAAAGAAATTTTTACTGTGGCATGACAAACTCCCGCAAATGTATCAGTGGGTCAGGAATCTGGGTAGGGTCTCACTGGGCTGAAATCAAAGCGTCGGCTAGGGCTGTGCAGCCAGGAGAGTGGCTATGTCATCGAATGCACAGGTTACGCCCCCATTCAAGGCTGGGTGACCATGCAAGGCCTGTGCACCAGGCAGTGAGAATCCTGCAAAAACTTGAGTGGCCATCTTAGAATTCTGCCACCCACCACGAACAAGTGTGTGTCCACGCACAAGCACACGCACAGGCCAAGGCAAGGGACACCCTCATTTAACTATTGTTACTCTTTCTTCACTGTTCTCTTCTTTTAGGAGCAGGGACAGGAAAAGAGGATCCACATTTTTTTATTTGCATGTGGTTCAGCTTGGACATTGACGTGTTTCCTGCAATAATGGCTAGTGTGTATTCAGTGCATGCATTGTTGCCAGGTATTCACCTATGTTCTTCGGATACGCTCGTTCATTCATTCATTCCTCCAGAAGTTGGGTAAGGGGGTACCACTATTGATATCATTTTTATAGTTGAAAAAGAGGTACAGAAAGGTTAAATTGCCAGTGTCAAAACACTGGTTAAGTGGCAATGTAGAATATTAAGCTTCACATGTATCATACCCTCAGTAAATGTAGTCATTCAGTCGATTGCTAATGAGTATTATCAGACAAGACAATGGAACATAGAACTGAAAGGATGTAAATACGTACATTTGCTTCAATGCTCTGTTGCTGCCTCAGTTGGCGTCTTCCTGGGGGAGGGCAAAACCAACCTGGGAGAGAACTTCTGGTTCAGGGTGACTTCTATGCGGCAGTGCTCCTTGGTAATGCTGGATCATGTTTCTCTGTATATTGACTAAGCAAACTCAGGGAGGGGAAGGATAAAATCTGAGAATAACCCAGACTGCTGACACAGAAGCAAACCACACTGGGTGAGGGCTGCAGCATTCAGCGTTTAGGAAAGACGGGCAGGGATGAGAAGCCTTCAGCCCAAGTTTTCAGTGTCATAATCTGACTCGGAGCCCATGGCAAAGAAGCTAATGCAAATCGTGCAGAAGGTGCTTTTCTTCTCTCCAAGCCTGATTTTTGGCTCTTCCAAAGGGAACATGGGCCCTGTCTGTCCTCTCCGGTCATAGGATTGTGCCTGCTTCCAGTCTCCTAGCACCGTGTCCCCCGGCCCCAAGTACAGACTGCCCCCCTCCCCAACACACTTGTTTTCATCTCAGCGGAGACCACAAAGCCCAGTAAGTGGCTGGGGATCCGGACTCCGCATCAGGGCAGCTCCGGTGCGTGGAGGCAGCCGTGGAAGGAGAGAGGGAGGCAAACAGGCCTTGTGAGCTCCAACACTGGGAGCCAAACGCCACACAGAGGAACTCAGAGGGGCACACGTGAGCCATGTGTGTGCTTCTTTAAGGCGTCGCCACGGTTCAGATCAGCCGAGAAACAGGATCCTGTCTCCGAATGAATACTTTATAGAGGATCCTTCATAAAATGCCAGGAAAGGCTTGTGCGTGCACCGTAGGGTTGCAGAAAATCAGACTTTGCAATCAAGACACATGGAGAATTGTTCCTCTTACTTGAAGGGAACCAGGCTTGACTGACCCTGAGCGACTGTGGTTCCACGTCACTCTTACTGAAATAAGTCGGTTTTCAGAGAAGCAGATCAACAGGTGTCTGTCGCACTGTTGTGAATGAGAACGCAACTCTGGTCCTGTTCAAGTAAGTAAACACGGGACATGGCCAGCACACCCTGAGTGTCAGACGTCATCATTAAAAAACACTGAGACGCAAGGAGATAACCAGCCCAAATCTGACACGGGCGTGAGCCGCAGGATGGGGTTGGCAGGACCGCGCCCACAGCCATGGCTGATGGATGGGGTACCGAGAAACGTGTTGCAACACCATGTGCTCAGGAAGGAGGTGTGACACAGGACAGCACAGCCCTGCACCCCGTTAACTCCTCAGAACTGTCCCTCAGAGTGGGAGTATGTGAGTTGGCATCATCGAGAAAAGTTTGCTGTAATTGTCGAACCATTTCCTATAATGGCTTTCTTATCCCTGGGGCTGGTTTTAAAAGCTTGAATTATGAATATTTTATGCTACATTATTTTCGTATTCCACGTGTGCTCCTCATGCAAATTAACTTTCTTATAGCTTCACCATGACCGTTACCTCATGGAAAGAAATTAAATTGTGGGACGAACCTGCTGAGGGAATGTCTCTTTTCAGAAAATGTCTCTTCCACATGGTTCAGGTATCAGAGGAGACATTGGCATTTCGAGTCATCAATCCCTATTACGTAATGAAATAAAACATCTAGGTAATTAGTAAAAAAAAAAGTCACAATGTTAAAATAGTTTGTTTGCTCAAGACGAAAAGGAAATGGCTCTGTTTTAAAATATTGGCATACAGCAGAAGAAAGTACCCACAACAATTAGCTCTAATATTATCAGGATTTGACGGTGCTTTTTATACCAAATACTGGCATAGTCGACATTTTCTCTAGGCTGCTTGAAATTGGTGTAACACAGACTGCGAAAAAGAGACCTGATTCTGTAAATAACCGAGTATCCTCAGTTTGGGCTTCCAATGACACACTTGCATCCTGAGAAACAAACAAACAAAAATCTTAAATACTTAGAAACAAAGAAGATACTTTTTAACTGTAGTTACAAATAGTAAACTATGTTTTTGTTTTATCTGAGAGCGTGTTAGAGTGGTTCTAAATCTTCGGTGATTTCTCAGGAAAACGGAACTACAGGTTGTGTATTTTCTGTTCGCAAGATCTCAGCTGCTTCCCGAAGTTCCTGGGGCCTCACAATGCCAAGTGCGTGGCAATGAGGTCCTGCCTGCCAGAGAAGGGAGCTTGGGACTTCCCATGCACTGTTTATTTTTAATTAACATGGCATCTTCCTTTCAACACTGTGAAATCACATTACAGGGATTTTACTTCTTTTTTGTAAACCTTCCTGATTCGATTTTCATATTAAGGTGTTTTTGCGTGGGATGGCATGCAGGAAATAAAAAAATGGAAGCATTGGTGTTTATTTTTGCACTCAGGAATAGCTTGGTATGTAAGCCAGGTTTAAAGAGAAAATTTATAGAATAATCTCAATAAACTGTTATGTAGTTTAGGAAGCCAGACCCCGAGAGAGAAAATAATCCTGTCTGTAAAATCACATGAGACTCAAAGGATTTTTCAGGAATTTTAATTTTAAAATAAGTAGAAAAAAGAAGAATAACATACGAAGTAGTAAATTTGTCAAGCCTCTTGACTGCAGGGCTTGTAAAATAAAAACTATAAACAGAGTCGATATGGTTTAATGAAGTCTATAATTCAGTTACAAGGAACATATTAGTATATGTACAAACTTCTTTCTTATTAGAGGAAGTTTCCGTAGAGATTAATGCTCTGATTTTACCCCCCACCCCACCCCCACTTCTGTGAAAGGCTACATTTCTCTCTGTGTGATCCGTTTACTCTGGCATGATCTTTAGTGCTCTTTTATTTTGTGCAGCACAATTAGAGATTTTTAAAAGGGTACGTGCATCAAAAATGTGCTGATTTGTAATTGTGGTGTTACAGTTGATACGTTCATTCTTTTTTTTTCTTGGTCAAGTCTGGTCTGAACCATCACTTATCCTTAGAAGAGAGCTGAGCAAATAACCCCACTGATACTTTTGCTAGACTAAGCCTTAAAGCGTGGAAGACGAAAGCTGACCTCTGTGATCAATTGTGATGTTTGCTTCTTGTCCTATCAGTTTTAACCAGTGTTAGTCATTCCTGCATTTATTTTATAGATGGACTAAAACCTTGGAAGCAATTAGAGAGTATTAAAAAGAAGCAGTGAGGGCTTTTATAAAACCAAGGAATAAATCAACAGCTCCAATTAAATCTTTTTTTTTAAGATTTTATTTATTTATCTTTAGAGGGGAAGGGAAGGAGGGAGGGGGAGAAATATCAATGTATGGTTGCCTCTCGTGTATCCCCTGCCGGGAACTGGCTTACAACCAGGCATGTGCCCTGACTGGGAATCGAACCGCAATCCTTTGGTTCGCAGGCCTGCGCTCAATCCACTGAGCTATACCAGCCAGGGCCAATTAAATCTTTAAAAAATTATCCAAGTAAATATCTAAAAATTAAGGTAGCTTGTACTTAAAAAGATATTTAAGAGATTAACTTATTTAATATGTAATATATATCATCAGTATAAAAGCCAGACAAAACTTTCTAAACTTAATATTTAAATATTGAGTATGTATTGAATGAAATATGCAATTTTACTATAAAAATAATGATTAAGTATCTCAGTCCTTCCAAAAATCTGGAAATCTGGAACTGTGTACATTTATATGTGTACCTATGGCTAAAATTATGGGTAACAAGTCCAGACACCATGCTAATAGATGCAGCTCATTGTTTCTGCAAAATTAAGTCATCTGGATTTTTATTGCTCCAAATATTACCAATTAAATTATAGTATCTTTAGCATTTTACAAATAAAGTAAAATCGAAAACAATTGTTTTTAAAATGTAGTTTGCATTTCTATCAACAGTTATGTGTATGCATGGGTATGTTCACTACACATATTGATAATATCAGCAAAAATAAATTCGAAGGACATAATCTACTTTCACACTAAGTTCTGATTGAAGGTTTAATTTCTGGCAAAATCAACAAGATGACTTTGAGAGATTGGTGTATCTGATATACTCACCTGATGCTGTGTTTTAGTAGGAGAGAATCCGAATACTTAGTAGACACTAATACATTATTTTGTTGTGATAATTATGTGACTCTACCTTTACAGATGCACTTTCTGACTTGGGTATTTAAGAAAACAGAGGCCCAATTTAAGTTACGCCTGAGTTTCTAAAAGCTTCACAGATTCTGTGTGAAAAATGGGAAAGTGAAGATTAAATGATATATTTTCCTCTTTTAGGCAGATTCTGATAGTTGCTGGAATGAACACAATCAATAATATTTTCAGTGTTCAGGGATTAAAAATGCTTTTGTTCACATGATTTTTAAAACACAGTGTTTAGTTATTTTATTGATTTTATTTGTCTCCAGTCACTTTTTCCCTATTGTTTGTAACGCTAATTTTCTAATCAACATCTTCTGTAAAGTATAAATATTATCTTTTTATAGTACCTACAACATTTGCCTAAGGATTTTTCTTAATGAGAGAGAAACAGTGTAGTGTGGTAGAGAAATTACACTTATTTAGTCAACTGAAGAATAATTAGAATTATTACTTATCTCTTAAAAATCAAACTGTTGATAAATATATCCATGTGTGAGTATAACATCTTGAAAATTTGTGTTACTTAAAATTCTTTGCAAAATATTCACTTGGAAAAGAAAATGAACAAAGAATAGAAAAGAATGAAATATGTCCTAAATTGGCTAGCAAAAAATAAATTAATAGACTCAATCGCAAAGTTCTCATTTTCTTCAGGATTATGTGATTTTGTTAGAGAATGTATTTATTATATTTCATAATAGGCTTAAGGATAATACAGATAAAATTTTTTATCTATGTATTGATCTTTCAGTGAATGTACTACATAAATTAAGGTACCATATATATTCCTTTTTGTTTATATTTATTCATCAGTGTCTGTTAGCATCTACTTTTCAGATTATGAAGGGAATGGGGTTGAATGAAAGGCGTTACCGGGCATATTGGCTGGTGAAGTTTGTATTGTTAGAAGAAAAGTTCTGATCGACCCTCCTAAAATCCTTTTACATGCTGTATTTCATTTTAAATGATGGACCCATTGGTTAACACATGCCATGTCTCAGAAGCACATATACAAGCTTGCAGACCAAATGAGCAAAGTTAGCATTCCTCACAGCCAAATGGCAACGTCCGACTTTACATCCTGGAACTCGTTGTAGGTGAAGGAACGGGACCGTCTCCTCAGATTGCTTGGTCTCTGAGGCCTGCCTTCTATCAAGTCTAAGTAGATGTCAGATTTCAGGAAACGTTTGTAACTGTCTTGTTCCATTAGCTGGTACACTCTGCTCTGAGCAGCATCGAAAGTGTGGAGGGTGGGTTGCATGATGCTCTGGGTAATGAGTTCTTTGGTGTGAAAATCAAGGTTAACCTAGATCATTTCAAGAAAGAATGTAATTATGGTCAGTCTACTGAAGTAAACACCGTTGAGAAACAGTACAAGACTATTCAGCATTGGAGTGGGCACCGAACTTGGGCACCGGGGTGATCCACCCATCACAGGTCTAGGGGTCAGATGATTGACTCTGGGCTGGCATTCCACGCGGCTCTTGTCTCCTCTGCTAATTTACAGCAATGGGCTGCTGTAATGGCAAGTGTCTTAGAGATCACCGGGCTCAACTCCTTCCCAGTCATTCAAAAAATAATGGTCAGAGACCGCAAACAATGAGTTGGGGCCTTTTGGGATTTGAGTGTGGGGCTGTTGTTGGATCCCTGCACTTTTTTCGTGAGGTTACACTTTTCTGCGAGCAAAATTGTGCTGAAAGGAATACATTTTAAAGATGTAATATCCTTTCATGCTTTTTATCCAAGCACCGCTGATATATCTGGCCCTGATGGCGGGGCCTTTCAGGTTTGGGAGGGTGTCTTTCTGTTCCCCTCCTGGGTAACCCCATACAATTAGCTGACTTGTTCTTTGGTCTGTGTATAAGGTTGGCATTGGGAACAACAGAATAACACACTGAATCGCAGAACGGAATAAAACACACTGAAGCAGGAACTATTATCGTTTTGTGTGGACTGACATCCACCCAGACAATGGTACCTCGTGGACAATATGAACATGGAACCAAGCAGAACTCTGAGCAAGCTAGACTCCCAGGCCTACCACTCCACTGAAGAAACACTATTTGTTGAACACATAATAAAAATATAGAAACTCTGTTGAGTTCCCATTTGAGGATAGGTAACATTTGCTTGTTTTATAGCCATTTCAGCAATTGTATCGCACAATTACCTCACATACAGCCCGCAGTCAGAGACAATCACATTTGTGTTTGCACTTGAACCATTGCCAAATTACGTTTCCCGCATGTCTCTATTTGCATTTTTTTAGTCTCTCTTAAGGAGTACTCATGTTAGGGCAAACCAACATTTGTCTGGGTAGACGAGCTAACGGTGAAGGGGTACGTGAGGCAAACTCTTTGAGTTCTCTTTCCTTGGGCACTTACTGAGACCTCCAGCTTTTATGAGAGTTTGCTCTGCAAAGACAATTGATGTACATGAGGGACTGAATCTAAATGTAGCAAGTGATCACGTTCACTCTTAGTCTAGAACAAAAGCAGCCCCAAGGAGCGACTTCATTATTCCTTTATCCGTGGCCATATCTCAGACCACATTCTGCTTGTGCGGGCAAACCTGTAAACGCCCAGTCTGCTTCAGCAAAACCCTAGCCTTCCTTGTGGGATGGATAGGGTTACCGATTTGAGGAAGGTAGATTCTTTCAAACATTGTTCAAACACTCGTACATTTTCCCAGTCATCTTTACCTCTTGTGGAGCATCCGTCTGGATAAATTTCTCATGTATTGCTTGTGCTTTAAAGAGAATTTGTTGAGGGTCTTTGCTTCTCTTGAAGTCTTCGCAGGCCTTCCAAAACTCAATGTTTTCCTCACTGAATTCGGTTTTAAGGAACCTGGTGAAAGTCTCCAGCCCATCTACCAAGAAAAGCAGTGACAGAGGTTAACTCTTACACATCGATGACGAGGAGATGTAGTACGTGGTATTGAAGTCCAGCTGGACATACTGACGGAGCGCCTCTGTCTTCCCTCCAGGGCGGAGTGACTACCCACACCTGAGCAGTAACCACGAGGGTCCTCATGGAGATCGGCTGTGATCTGCTCGGCTGCTGAAATGAGGCTGGTAACATTCTGAGACCCAAGTAAGAGTGACCCCTACTCTGGGCCTTGCTCTGGGTATCCTTCAGCCACACCTCTCTCTGGGTTTGTCTGGAGGGAAAGAGGAGCTGTTCTAGAAAGCCAAGAAGCCATTCCACCAGAACTACCCCCGCTTCCAGACTATACTCTGGTACTCAGGACTCGGGGTCTCCCTGTTTAAAACCCCATTTCTAGGCTTCGTCCACTCAACTCCTTTTCACTTATAGTCACTTCCTATTTCCACTGCCCTTGAGAACGCTATCCTGTGGTCAGTGATTGCTGTCAGATAAACAGTTCAACAGAGAATGAAGTGAGAAGAGATCTCTCCAGCAGCCACGCGGCAGTGACTAGGGGGCTCTGCATTTATAACACATTGAGAGGTTTCGAGGGCTGAGTGCTGTTTATACTCCTGACTGTGTTTAGTATTTGCCACGATGCCTGGCACATGTCCCCCTATGTGCCTTTTCATAGACCAGGAAACTGAGTTTCCGATAAGTTCGGCTGCTCCTGGCCTCACTTTTGAAACAAGCAAAGACATTTTAGAAACATGTCTTGCTCTGGAAGCAGCCCTTGCTGGGGCAAGGCATGGTCGCAGACCCCAGAACCTGGGGACCCTCCGGCTTCCCGCAGAGAAGGGGCTTTTGCCACAGTTATTATGGAGGAGGCGCTTGAGAGGGAGGGTTCTTCTGTCCGGGTGGAACCAATCCAGTCCTGAGTGTTTACTAGGGAGAGTCGTGGTGTGGGTCAGAGGGGCGCCACCTGGGGGCTATTGCTGCTCTTGGCGGTTGAAGAAGATGGTGATGAGCCAGGGATCGCGGTGGGTTCTAGAAGGTGGGAATGGCACTCAGTATAAAGCCAGCAGCGGAAGGGAGATCTTGGCCCAAAACTTCAGAAAACTGAATTCTGCCCCAAACCCAAATGACTCAGACAGGAATTCTCCCCTAGACCCTCCAGAAAGGAAAATAGACGGACGACACCTTGTTTTGTTTCCTGCCCTTCCTGCCCCCCCTCCGTGAGTCCGTCTTGCCCTTCTGACCTGAGAATGATAAGATAATAAATCTGGGTCATTTTAAGTCACTGAAGTTGTTATAAATTGTGAAAGCAGGCACGGAAAACAGATACAACCCTCAAATTATGCTTTACATACCACCATTTCCTTGCCCTGCATATAGAACTTGTCCTCTTTTTCATGAACCCCACCCTTTTTTAAAAATGTTGTGAGCAATCTTTTTGAATATATCAGAGGTTCAGGAACTTGGTAAAGAAACCAGGAGTCAGAAATGCGTGACAGTCTGGGCTGTTCCCCCAGCATCAGATACAGGAGGGCTCCAGCCATCAGCGTGATGACCGGCACGTGGGCCCTTTCTGCGCACGGCTCCCTCCGTCGGCGTTTTGCCCGGACAGACAGACGGGAGGTGCTGCGGATGCTGCCGTGTCTTCCCCCCAGTAAATGGGCCCAGGGCACCAGCTGTTGGTTGTTCAGTGCTAGTGAAGAAACAAGCGCGGATAAGCAAACAAGAGGCTCAACGAGAGTTCGAGAAGGTACCATGCATCTGGCTTGCGACCAGAACTTGTCAGTCACTGGGTGTCAGGAGGTAAGTCCCGGGAACCCCACGGTCTGAAGGAGGCCGGGTTGCTGAGTGAGTGGCTCCTGCATAAGCCCCACGCCCTCACCGCTGGGAGGCAGCCAATGGGATCAATGTGCGTGGGATTTAACCACGTTTTTTCTCACTTTCCCAGCTCAGGGTTTTGCTTCCAAGATTAATGTTTCAAGGTGAGTCAGGGGCTTTTTCTCACGAGGTCCCAGGGAAATATGAATGGATAATGTTCCTTAGAACAATTTTGATAGAGAAGATTTTCCCTAAGAACCTAAGAATGTATACACTTCAGAATAAAATTTTTCTGGTGTTCATATTTGTAAACCAGATTTGCTGCCACAGTGAACCAGAGGAAGTCAGGGGGGTAGGATTTGCCAGGTTCTGTTCTCACAGCAGTAGTCACAGGGTTCTTGGTTTTGGGGGTGTTCCTGTTCGATTTTGTTCCCCACAATTCCCTCCCCCCTGGGTATTTCAGTACCTGGACTTGCACAAAAGCAGGTTGAGTCATTTATTACTGAGATCATGTTTCTTTAGTGGCTGAAAACTCAACGCAACACGTTCCGGACTCTGAGGCTGGCTGCTAACAGCTTCAGAACGTCTTCCTTTTCTATTTATGTGACTGGCAAGGTGCCTTCGTTGCCTAATCTCTGGTTTTATTGTCGTCTTTGTATTTATTGCCTTCCTTCTTTTTCTATATAATGATTCAGAAGGAAACTGGAGGCTGTGGTGAAACAAGCCTTTCAACTCCTGGCTCAGCGTTGAAGGAGAATTAGAAATGTGGACAGTGGGTGGGTCTGAAAAAACAATCTGACAGTGATCTGCAGACCCACTGGTCTGAATCATTCTGCAGTCATGTCCCAGCCTCCACCAGAACTTACAAAAAGAAATCCCTGAGAAGTTTCCTCCGGGTAAATTTTTAGTGTAATGAAAAACCACTGCCTAATGAAACACTCATACTTCCTTACTCTCAAACTGCTAAACTGTGTCCTTTTCCTTCCCAATCGACATCCACTTTATACTGGCTTACATTCTGTAAAATAACTATAACTCTCGGTTTGGCCCCAGTAATGATGTTCAGAACCAATGGCTGCTTTGCATTTTTTTTCAATGGAAACCTGAAATTTCGTATTTGCTTGGTGGCTACTGCAATGTGGATTTCTGGAAAGACATCCTTGGCTGGGTTATCAGGAAGCCATAGGAAGCAAAGCAACAACACCACGCTGAGAATCAGGTAACAGGGAACCCTGATTAAGGAACAGAAAGCCGTCACATGGAAATGTGCCCTCTGCCGACGTCCATGCATGGGGTGGGGTGCCATGTTCTGTCTGTCTAGGGTGCGGGGGCCAAGCCAAGGCACTTTGGCTTTGTTCCTACTTGTTCCTCTGTTACTGTTTAAAGGGAAATTGAAGCAAAATTGGCAAAATGAAATGCCTGCTCTCTCACAGTGTGGACACAAAAACTTAGACCCCAGTGAAGAAAAAAAACTTTTGCATTTCAGTTTCTTCTCTTTCTATGTATCAGCACCGACTGATCAGTTTTTAAACACCAAGTTGTTCCTAAAGTGAGTTTACTAATAATGATCACAATTTTAGAAGGATATGATCATTGCTTTTTTTTACTCATAAATCTCAGTTTTAATGAAATTTTTTTGTACTGACACCTAAAATGGATCACCCATGTGCAAGGCAAGTGAAATTGGCCCTTATTTATTAAAAATAGCTTCTTTCATCTATCTTTTAAAAATTTATGAAATATCTAGTATGAACCTGAGGACCGTATTATATACTGAAAATGCAATATTCATTACAATAACATTCATTCATTACATAGGAATTTGGAGGGTTTGCAAGGTCTTGGCACTTTGCGGCATGCCTGTGATGGGTGCAGTTCTATTTACTTTCCGCACTAGCCCTGTGGAGTGGGTCAAATTATACCCATTATACAGAGGGCAAAAACTGAGGTTCGGAGAGTTAAGTTGCCTGCAATTCTACAACTAGTAAAAGATAGCCCTGATATTTGAACCCAGGTTTATTTCGTACAATATTATAGAACCTTTACCAATGAACTACTGTAAAGCAATGAAGTCCCAACCATGGGGGACATGCAGGTGGTTAGACAAGACAGGCATATATATACCAAGGTATATATACCAAGGAGTGATGAAGGACTATCACAGGGTGACACTCTGTTTGGAGCCGCAGAGAAAGATCAACATGCATGGAACGCAGATAGAAGTCTTCCAGAAAACAACATAAATGCTACTTATAGTCCCTTGCTAATCCTCTGAGCATGAGTGTGGACTGTGTGCTGGCCAGTGTGCCTGGAATATCATGCAAAGCCCTCTGCCACCATGGTTAGCCTTGAATTTGATCGATACAGACATTCAAAAGGAACTTGCGGCACCTGTGTTGGAAAAAGGGCCAGGTGCTAAGAGTGTCACTTTGAGTGATGGGCTCAAAGTGAATGGAGTCTGTTGGCATCATAGGACTGCAATGGAGAAGAATAAATACTGACTCAAGAAAGCAACTGACGATGAATAAGGAAGGAGTTCATCTGTTTAAAAGTTGAAGTAAATTGCTTTTTCAAAAGTGACGCGCCGTGTTGTGCAAGATAATCCAAGCGCATTAGCTACTTCCTGTTTCTCTTCCTCACTTTGGGCAGCTGCGTTAAGTCAAGTCAAGTCACAGCGGAGCCATCTGTCACACGGAGGCTGTCACTTACTGAGCAGGCCTTTAGACGGCAGCAGTGGTAAATGCAGCTGCCAAAGCCTCCCATTAGAACCCAAGGTCAGAGTGAAATGCTTGGAATTGTGTGTTTCAAAGTGGAAACTCTGGCAACTGCTGGAGTAGTTTTCTGATACCGAGAAACCAAATGAAACAAAAGTCGTGTGACTCTGAAGTTGGACGCCCACATATGGTCTCATGCCCTCAGCTCTAGGTCAAGTTATTTCCCCTTGTATGTTGGGCTTCGTAGCTCTTAAGCTGCTGCAGAACATTGTGGTTATTTCTGCAATAATAATTTGTGTATGCAATTCATTTATAACTTAACATGGATTTTACTTATTATCATTTAGATAATTAAACAATTGGGTACTTATGATGGGTTAGCTTGATTCAGAAATTTATTTTTCCAGAGCACTAGAATCCCTTATCTTGCAGAAAATTGGTAACCGAAAATCGGGAA